GTGCCCCCGCCAACTTTGATGTCACCTAGCGTATGAACGGCTAGCGCTAGAACGGCCAAGCTTGGTGACTTTTCCTAGAATATTGTTGGCAAAAATGATCTGTCATTGGAATAGGATAATAATTTTTGTGTTGCCATGGCAACGGGTTTCCGATAGGCATTTCTTGCTAAATTTTGTAATTTTTGTTTCAACAATAGAATTTTATGGGTTTTATGTCAAGTTACACATGGTTTCTAATATTAATAACATCCCTCATAAGTTCATGTAAATTTTATTAAAAAATGTATAATTTATGCTAATTTAATGATGATGCAATCGTAATAGAAAAATTATACAAGTATTGTACGTTTCAAAGGTCAGCCTCCAACTTTGGCCTCTGAAGGTCCGAACAATTGAGTGCAGAAAATATGTAAATTTCACCACACAAAAGTTTTAAAACCGTTCATACTTATATACAATTTTGCGCATAAACCTGCCTTTGCAATTTTGTTGCGATTACATACAGTAACCTGCATTAAGTTATATACAGACGTCAATGCAGGGCATTTGTACAGTACGGAAACCATTTCCGTTTCTCTAAACTGTAAAGAAACTAACAGCAACAGGTGCACGTAAATAGTCCCCAGTACTGTCCCTACCCTCAGACAGTACATGAACAGTCCCCAGTACTATCACTGCCCTCAGATGTTAGTTGAACAGTCCCCGTTAATCAGCGTGAACCCTTACTAACATTATATTGGCCATTCTTTAATGTTCAAAGGATTTCTTTCAACAAAAGGTTTTCTAAATTACTGGATTATTTACTACAGAGATTTTTCTACAGCGTTTTCTAATATGGCCAATCTTGATCGGTACGCCACCCCCAGTACCAACAAGAAGCCATAGGTGACAATCCTCCGTGAAGTTTTATATATTTCAACAAAATCCCAAGCGTCAACGCCAGACCTACTGTGCAGACATTATAATTAGGCAACGGTTAATACAATGAGGGCGCGTCACAAGCATAAAACATACAAAGAGCTAAATCCATTACTGCTCCCAGGGCGTGTAAAGATACTGTGCTTCAAGTTCGAAGTTCATTTTAATTACACACACACAATCATTGCATTCACATAAAGATCGGACTATCATGGTCGTGTCTAGTAACAAAGACAGCCCCACCGTCTTACCGTGCCTGTACCTAATTAAGCGCGCCTGGAACAGGCCAAATTCCAGCAACAGTTGCGGTAAGCACCGCGAGTGTAACTACCGCCGGCCAGATAACCAGGATATCTGCTTGTACCTCTGCTACCAGACAACTGCCTAAACCTACGGCGTATTCCACAGGATTGTAAAAGTAGGGATGTTTCTAAAATATGCATTTACTTCAATATCAAAACAGCTACGGTAAAAATAAAAAGACGTGCATCATCCCGGACATAATGCGAAATTACACAAAAATGCGACGTACGGAAGAATGCGTTTTGGCTGCGAACATCTTCCAAAAAACTTGGCATCTCTTAACCATGGGCAAAAACATCTGGAACCACTTATAAAAACCACCCCGTATCTGCATGAACTTTTACCCCCCCCCCACTGCTATTCCAAACAACGCGTTTTTCTGGACCATTCCAATTCGCCTCGTAATTGTAGGGGTGCGTCTGCAATATTACATTGACCGCGAAAGCAGCAACGGCAAAAATACACATTCGTGCATCAACACGGGCATGCCCGCAGACGGCGTATAAAATTGCGTGCCGATTACACAAAGAGAACCCAGTGTTTTGACTGCGAACACGAAAAATCAGCCGATCACAACACTCCGTCCGGAGGTCCTGACCTCCTTCACGGAGTAATAAAGGGCAATCAACATTTGGCATATTAGGAAAAAGGCCATAGAAAATCGTCAGCCACTCAGACGGTCTACGTATGTACGTAGGAGGTATGCGTACATGCTTAGTAGGACTGCTTACTGGGCCCGTGAAACGGAGGCTACGTTACTCCGAGTACATTAAAGAATGGCCAATATAATGTTAGTAAGGGTTCACGCTGATTAACGGGGACTGTTCATCTGATATCTGAGGGGAGTGATAGTACTGGGGGCTGTTCATGTACTGTCTGAGGGTAGGGACAGTACTGGGGACTATTTATGTGCACCTGTTGCTGTTAGTTTCTTCACAGTTTAGAGAAACGGAAATGGTTTCCGTACTGTACAAATGCCCTGCATTGACGTCTGTATATAACTTACATGCAGGTTACTCTATGTATTCGCAAATTGTGCCCACATTTTATTTAAGTATGCACGGTTTCATAACTTTTGTGTGGTGAAATTTACATATTTTCTACACTCAATTTTTCAGATCTTCACAGGCCAAAGTTGGAGGCTGAATTTTGCTTGAAAACGTGCAATACTTGCATGATTTTTCTATTAGGATTGCAGACATCAGCATGCAATAAGCTAGTACTTTGTGCTTTTAGTAGACTATGATTACATTTATGCATTGTTTTTGCTATAATTAATACTTTGAACACTAATCTATAGGGCGATTAGCTGTTTGAACGAAAGTTGTGTTGTGTTTTAAAGTACAATTTTTGTTATCAAGTATTGGTTGCTATTATCGTCTTATTGCAATTCTGTTTAGAGAAGCGATAGGTACGTTGTGGGCATATCTCTTTACTTAAAAAATGCTTGTGATTTCGACGACTTCAATATGTAAGGTCAGCGGAATGATTGCGCGATCAAATCATGTAAATACACTTAAAAAGTACCATGATTGTTGTTTACTCTAATCTATATCTCCAAGCAGATTCAGATTCAGATTTTATTGAATATCGACTGGCATGTCACATCAGTGCATGAAATATGTCGAACATTTACAACTTGTACTCAATTATTACAATAGATAGCATAAAATGTCACATACATCTGCATAATTAGCGATAAAATACAACATAAAAACTTAAAACATCAATGAGTACAGTTGAACATTCTAAAATCAGTATTACTAAAGAACAATAACATCATAAAACCGCTATAAATGTATACAAAGACCAGGTTTTAAACAGCAGCTTCAACGAACGGGGTACAAAAGACTGTTCATGTCTTTTCGTTTTACTAGATGTTGAGACAGTGACAGGTTTACCTCTACGCAGGTTGTATTACATTGTGTCGGAGAGGATACAAAGTCAAGCAGAGGGCAAGCGGACTTTATATTGGCCGCCTGTATCCAACGTTCGCCCCACGAATCTGCCGCAGAACGCACCAGGGCGGGGCTATCCTGCGGCCAACATAAAGTCCCCTTGCCCCCACCGAATATGCTTGGGGATTAGTTTACTCATTAGTGTGTCACTTAGCTTTTAAGTTTCGTAGACTAGTTAGTTAGATATGCATTACTTGGGTGCTGAAGTACTGATGTTTATCAGATATATTCTGCTTTTAACCTTTTCTTTAAATCTCGTTATGTAAAGCTGTTTTGTAGTCGCTGCGTGGGCGTCAGTCAGGCTTCGCGTCAGTCGACAAACCCGTGCCTGGTGTAGGGCGTGTTTTTGCTGTGCAGAAAACAGACAAGTGGCATCATGTCCGAGACTGGTGACTCCGGAGGTAACAGATTTTCTCTTATTTTGTGTCAATTTGTCTTTTTCTTCTGTGTGCTGTTGAACAACCAGACATTTGACAAATTTATTTATCCAGCTCGTACCACTATCAAAATTAGTCTAGTAGCCCTTACAATATTTCAGTAATTTTCAGCCATAAATTGATTTTTGAGGGTGTCTAAGAGAATATAGGGGGGGGTCCCAGAACTCCGTAAAAAGAGGGAGGATTTTATTTATATGATGAATGTTGCACATACAAAGTGTGTTCCAATCTGGCTAACCTCCTTCTCCGACCTGTGCCTTGTTTTGCCTGGTTTTCTCGTGCAATGTCTCTTGAATCATATTATTTTACAATCATAAAATTGAGGGTCGCACAGATTCATTTTTTTGTCGCTTAACGACCGTGGTTTGTTGGAAGGGGTGCCTAGACGCACCATTAATTTGTTCTGTCAGGTCACATGATGGGAATTTTAGATGATAGTAGATTTGCAATTTTGGGTCTCACAGTCTCCCAAATACCAAAATATTGTCTTGGTTCAATGGTTCAATAAAAACATTCAAAAATGCTTGTTTGGTCCAGCAGAAACCACTGACATAATCACTAACAACGTTTGCAAGACCAAATGGTCCCGCTGGTGCAAGAAGTACTGGTGGACCTTCGGCTGGCTGGTCGTCGCGGTAATGGCCGTCGCACTTCCCTTCGTGGCAGGTCAGTTTTTACAGTCACTTACACGTGACCATATCCTTCCGCGGCAGCAGGGAAAAGGACTATCGCAAGTTCACGTCTGGAATGTCCCTCCTCATCGTTGTTTCGAAACTTAAATATAATATATAAGTGTAAACGACATAGACAGAGTACAAGTATCTATATGCGCCTACAAAATTACTAGTATTGGCCACACCGGCTTAATTTTATGGATGACATCCGCGCGCGCATTGATTTTCGTCTGTTCTCAAAAAAAAAAAAAGATCACGTCATCCGAGGCTCTGGCCTGGATAGTCCATGGTAGCTTGCTATATAGCGACAGTACGGAGCCGGTGGTAACTCTAGAGGATGGCACCCAGGCTACCAAAGCTCCACGACTCAAGACCTCAGTACATACGTACCGTGTCGATTCATAAATCCGCAAAAAGCCGGCATGTGCCGGCTTGTCGTATATATTGCTATGTTCTGCCGCAAATTCACAATACCAACTTTGCCTCTGCATTCCTGTGGTTTAGCAGCATTTTATTTTTGGCCGGATTTTTATTTTACTTGCCAGCGCGCATTAGTTTGGGGGTCTTCAGAGGATGTCATCCATAAAATTAAGGCGGCGTGGCCTATTCACAGAAATTATTGGATGTCAGATCAGCTTAAAGGTTTGTTCAAATACAATTTGGATTTTATTTTCATCAACCCAACACAAGACAAAGGAATAACTTGAAACAGATCCACACTGAAACTCAGCTACGTATGTTCTGCATAGTATACGCCCAAATATCTGGAATAGATTAACTCAGCCATATTACTTAATTAAACACAAACTATAACATTTTTACTACGCTGGGTTCTCCTGTTCTATCGTTCAGCAATTACTTATTTGCATTATGTTACTGTTGTTATTTAGTTGTTATTTAATTAATTGTTATACTTTTTATCATCTTATTTGTTAACTCGAATAAGATCTAGATTTAACGATCAGATATTTATTGTTATTTTTTCTTATGTCGCGTGTTGTTATTTAGCCTCGGATAGACGAAATTGGGCCCTGCCTTTTCCCAGCACTCTCTTCTAGTCTATATTACTTTTCGTGTTGGCTTTTATCATTAAGTGCAAAAAATTCATACAAAATACAAATACAATACAGTGACAATGCAATGAAATAACATATTAGTGTTGTGTTTCACGTGAGGTGAGGTTACCATGAAAATTTCAAGAAATACGGTCGTTATATTTTAAACAAATTTTCATCTTTTCAATAACGGCAATGTTTAAAAAAAGTTCGCTCCAATTTTGCATGATTGATATAGAACATAGCAAGCTAGATTTTCCTTTTTTTTTAATATAGTTAACCTGCAGATCCTCTCCCGGGAGGTGATGAAGAATTCAGAACGACTAACCGAGTTCGAACGTAAGTACTATGTCCCATCATCACAGAGTACAAATCTTAAAGACCATGCTTGTACTATATAACTTACTTACTTTGTACTTGAGTAGGTCTCCTCATATCTGTGAGTGGCCTGCGTCAAAGTCGTCCCTCCGTCTGCACAGCGTCCTGCGCCATACTTGGCGGTCGTGGGCAATCGTCTTCAGGTCCTCTAGAGTCAAACTGGGTTGGTGCATGGTTGTCCTGGCATCCTCTAGTACATGTACACATGTCAGCCATGTCTTCCTTGGTCTACCTCTAGATCTTTTCCCATAATTGGGAGTCCATTCCAGCAGGAACTTAGGCAACCGTTCTTCAGGCATTCTTAGTAAATGACCTAACCATCTAAGTCTGTTGTTTGCTATACGAATTCCGATGTCCACTGTGTTTGCCTTCTGCAACATGCTCTTGTTTGTCACATGCTGAAACCACTTGATGTTCAGAATCCTCCATAGACATCTCAAAGTCTATACTGTACTATATAAGCACCCAGTAAACTACCAGGCCTCATTCTATCGCTGACTACCGTGGTGGTAACATGGGCACAGGGCTGACCGAGACACTTAAAGACAATTTGGGTTTGAAACATATTGACAACAGATGAGGAATTTATGTACAGTTGTACAAAAGAAGTTAGTGACCCAACCCAGAATATAAAGTACAAATGCAATGGCAACACTGCCTTGCCAAGGTTTGCCTGGTGGTGTGATAGAGATTGTCTGGCAGTTAAATGTACAGTTCTAACAAAGATCCAGTCTACATATATACTGTTTTCTCATACCACCAAATTGACACCACAATTACAACCCATTTTCCTAGAAAAACTTACTATCCAAGCTAATTCAGTTGTGAGGTTGACATTTTAGATGTCTACAATTAGACACATTGATAAAACTTTGACAGGGCAGTTTGAAAAATTGAAATTTAACCACAAGGTTGGTTTTCCAGAAACTGAACGTTGCAAATAGTATTTTCTCGATTATGTGACTCAGTTACAATTATCCCGATAATTCTGCATGGTTTGACATTGTTACTTTGAAAATTAGTATAGAAAATTATTTGAATTTGTTCAAAAAGTTTGACAGTTATTATGATAATCTGTCCCTGCCATTGTTTTTGGTGGCTGGACCGTCTAGGATATTTATTGCTTTATGTTATTATGGGGGTCAATTCACTATTCAAGCTGCTAGAGAAGCCACAGTGGGGAGTACTTGTTTAGGGCAGGACCCAGGGTCCTCATGCCTGCTTTCTAAACCATAATTTTATACCACATATCGAGTGATCTATGATTGGAGTTTTATCCGTTCTTTTATTAGACCATGTCGATTTAATTATATGATGACATCCTCTGGGAACACCAAAACTGATGCGAGCGTTTGGCCCCAAAAGTTGCTTTCATCAAATCTACGTCATGAAGGTTAAACAAATGACATATAATATAATATGAGTATGATCTGCCACCATGGACAAGCTTCAGATACAGAAGCATTTCCACATGGAATAACCTACCATCGGACCTGCAACATTTAAGAACAAAGGACAGTTTCAAATCAGGACTGGTCAAGTACGTCCATGCTAAAACAATAGCAAGGTAGACGAAATCAATATAACTCAAGTTAAAGCATATAAATGTAATTTGTAATTCTTTTATTGAAACTGGGTAAAGTTGAATGTCATTTTATTGATTGTAAAGCATGTGTAGGACGAAAATTGTGTAGAAGTCTAGTGGCGTAGATGCCCAATGTCATTTTTATATGATTGTGAAGTCTGTGTATTGTTTAATCTTGCGTTGTTGAAATCCAGGAATATTAGTCGCACAAAAATACTAATGGATATCCTAATTAAGTATCAAGTATCAAGTAAATATTTCATGCAGGTACAAAGTCTCCGAATTCTTATTTCAGGAACTGGTTTTGAGGGGCCCAGGGGGCTAGCCAGTCCTGCTCTACCTGGGCCTCCAGGAGAACATGGGAAAACAAGGCCAGCCATGTCTGGGCCACCAGGACCGCCTGGACCTCCTGGACAGGAAAAAATACTAAATTGACAAACTAACAAACGTACGCTCCGTATAATACATGTACACTAATCTCCAAGCAGATCATAGGGTAGCAAAAGACTGTATCAAGTTGTCCAGGCCTTTTCCCACCAGGGATGAGCTTTGAGACATTTGCAAAGCAAATGCATAATAAATAAATAACCTTCACATGTTCTATTGCTCTGTATTTTGTTACTTAAACACATGCATATATGGTGAGCAGCCCCTCCAGCTCTGTCCTGCTAGAAAATATAACCCAGTACCACAGGGTATCTCGCTACAGAGCTAATTACTATGGTGACAGCCGTCTGGTCTAGGTCATTGACCTTATTTGTTTGGAGAAGGAGAAAAGGAAGAAGAAAGAAAGCAAATGTTTTCCTTCTGTCAGGGTAAACATGATTACAGTATACCCATTCACACCAGTTATTCTGGACGTTAACACAATCAAGTGGCACTGGCGCATACTACTTTGAGTCTGGCATGTATACAATTTTAGAGAGGACTAACTTCAGCCAACCGACGCATTTCATTGCTCATTCTGCTTTTAATTCATCCATGAATGATTGATTAATCGATCTTATTAAGATATTCCAGTTTGTTAACAACTTTTGCTATTTTGTTTTACCTATTCTGACACCGTACGAGTTTTTCCCGCTGCCTTTAAAACACATTTATACATGTCGCTTTTGTTACAGTGTAGCTGTCCCGCCCCGACTGCTCCTCCGCAGGTGACACTCCCAGCAGCCGCGACTGCTCCTCCGCAGGTCAAAACCCCAGCAGTCCCGACTGCTCCTCCGCAGGTCAAAACCCCAGCAGCCCCGACTGCTCCTCCGCAGGTCACAACCCCAGCAGCCCCGACTGCTCCTCCGCAGGTCACAACCCCAGCAGCCCCGACTGCTCCTCCGCAGGTCAAAACCCCAGCAGTCCCGACTGGTCCTCCTGCAGGTGAGTTTTAGGGTCCGAGTTTCTTACGGTTCTGATGCTACATGTGCGGGTCTTATAGGTACACAGTTATAACGTTTATTATCTTGACTAAACAATATGACACATCCCAGCATTTCATGAATACACAAAGGACAGTCATATACAAACGTTACCGGTCAAATTTTATTACATGACATTATATATACATCAACACAGTCATACTTTTTTTAGCATCGTCCAAAATACGACACATCCAAACGTTTCATATTAGACAAATGACTGTCGTATACGATTGTTACCGTCCACATTACCTTACATCATGAAAACATTTTGATGCAGTACAATGGCTTTTAATGCGGTAGTTGCGACCCCTTTTTTGCTCTTTTCTTACTTGTCGCCTACTACTTTGAGTTCCCACATTTACTGACTTTTTAAAATAGTTTTGCCATAAACTACCAGAGTTATGCTGAGTTACCAATATGCTACAGTTATCTGACATATAAACCATTACATCGTGACTCTGTCCCCTGCTACTTACCGTTTCCCAGATGCAGACTGTGCTGCATATAAAGCCGCCGGATACACGACCAGTGGAGTCTACACACTCGGCCAACCCCTGTCCGGTGTAACGGTCTACTGTGACATGGATATTGATATAGAAGGTAGATATTGTTTTAAGGCAATATATGTAATATACACAGGTGTACATAAACTGCCAAAAGCAATACTAAAACTAAAATGTGGGGATACAAAAGTCAACTCTGTTGTTGGTCAAATTCCTATTTTCATGAGAATTCGCTCACAGGTACGGTCTATTCCAATCAATCCTTCCAGCAAAGCTAACACATTTCATGTTGTTACCAGGTATCCTTGTTTTAAATTTATTTCAAGGAAATTATGTTGTTGTTTTTTTTTTTTTTTTTTCTACAGGAGGATGGACTGTGATCCAGCGACGACTGGACGGGTCGGTTCCCTTCGACCGAACCTGGCAGGAGTACAAGCGCGGGTTTGGGAACAAGAACGGGGAATACTGGCTTGGGAACGAGAACATCCACCTCCTGACTACTCAGAAGGACTACCATCTGCGGATTGACATGCTGAGCTGGGATAGGCGGATACGCTACGCGAAATACTACACTTTTAGGTTGGTACTCCTCCTTCTGGTGACTATTCGTAGCAGATATCACATGTCACCTGGAAATACATAAGATACGAAGGAAAAGGTCTATCCTAAAAACTGCTGTGGTAAGTTATGCCTACGTTATTTAAAGGTGAACATCACTGCATAGCCTGGGTAAATGTAGTCATGTGCATAATTGAAATCGAAATACCTTTATTGCACATAATTAGTAATAGTGTTAAAGATGCATTCTGACAAGGGATAGGGCATGGACCAATATATGACGTTTGACATGTAATATTAATAGAATAGGCCCTCAATCAAAATAGATTTTGTTCATTACCGAAAGGAATCAGGCAAAATAACAACAAAATTTACAAAAACTCCAAATACTTCATGGAGATATTAGACTTCTGAACAACCTCTGTGTTCCAAACAGACCAGAATCAGAATCAATGCAGATTGTTGTTTATAACTAATATTGTGTTATTTGCCGTTCCCATCCAGGGTGGCCGGTGAGTCGAACGGGTACCGGCTGACCGTTTCCGGGTATTCAGGCACAGCGGGAGACTCCATGCGTCACAACAACGGGCAGATGTTCTCCACTGTGGACAGGGACAATGATGTCGCCAGCAACTTGGACTGTTCTCAGCAGAGCGGACAGGGCGGTTGGTGGTATAAGGACTGCAGCCGCTCCTTCCTCAACGGCCGCTATGTAAACCTGCGCAACTGTGGGAACTCCTGTCGAGCCTGGCCAGGTGTGGTGTGGTACGACTGGAGAGGCGGGGATTACTCCCTGAAGTCTGTGTCTATGAAAATCAGGCCCAAAACGATATTTAAGCATGCTTAAATCGTGCTTAAAGGCGGCGTAATTTCCATCTTTACGCACCTTTCCGGTACCTTTCCGTGTACGTAAACATTGTCTTTACGTGCCCTTTCCGCAGTACTGTAAAGATACGTATTTGCACTACTTTAGCGGTGCCTTTACGCACCTTTTGTGTCCGTAAAGGCTTTGTAAACTATTCCTTAAAGTATTGTTTACGGACCTTTTTTGGTCGGAAAGCATGCGTTTACTTAAAATTTAAGAGGTCTTTTAGCTGCCTTTAAGTTTCTCGTAAACATTGTCTTTACGTGCCCTTTCCGTAGTACTGTGAAAGATACGTTTTTCACTTTAGCGGTGCCTTTACGCACCCTTTATGTCCGTAAAGGCTTCGTAAACCATTCCTTTAATCACTGTTTACGGACAATTTTAAGCTTTAAGTTGCCTTTCCAAACATTTGAATCGGCTGTGCATAACCTTAACATACGTCGGTATATGTGAATATGATGACAGAAACAGATATGGTCTGAGAACAATTTATTGAGTAAAGCATACAAAATACAATGATTCCTAATGAAATGGTTTAGATCAAGATGTTAGCTCATACTATATTGTCACACTATTACGTATCCCTCCCCAGCTGCAGATTACGCATAATGAAAACAGTTCAAAATAATACATTCCTAAACTAAGCTCACCAATACAAGGAATTGACTACTTGTATCTCCAAACATATATTTGATCAGCTCCCTCGTATACGGCATTTTGTAAAAGATTTCTCCTCCGTCCTCCTGGCTGTTGTCAGACGGGCCGAGCCGGGCCGAGAGTCGTGTTGTCGTTGCCGCTGCTTAGAAGCCCTTGGATCCTTTCCGACTGGGCCTCCACCAATTTCAACATATTCTAAAGAAGTCGAACATTTTTTTTCTTGCCTTTCCTCGCTCCATGAGATTCTCAACTTCAGCCATAATGTCTCGATTAGAAGGAGGATCGAAGTGTCTTCGAAATAGACGCCATAAAAATGAGTTGAGTCCGGTAGATTTGAACCTCGCTGTCTTGTATCCCATTGGGTACCGCCCTATCACATGACACGTTCCTCATTGGGTGTCTGCATATGGATACTTTGTAAGTTCAAGAACTTTACATAAAAGCAATGTAAGTTTTGTCATACTTCACAAATAAAGCAAAATGAAAGTGCGAAGCCGGCTGGGCGATGAACCCGTTTATCTATTTGCCATTTGGAACATGGTTAGACGTTAAAAAAAGCTACGTAACGGAACATTTGCCTTTCAGAGGCCTTTACGAAGTCGTAAAGTAAACTGAAATATTTTCCCACCTTTAAAACTTCTTTACATATGCGGAAAGTTTACTTAAATGTCTGTATACATTTACGTCGTATTTAAGCGCGCTGAAAGGTGACGGAAAGGCGGACTTTGTCTTTCAGTGGCCTTTACGAAGTCGTAAAGTCAACTGAAATATTTTCCCAACTTTAATACTTGTTTACGTAATGCGCAAAGTTTGCTTAAATGTCTGTATATATTTACGTCGTTTTAAGCACACTGAAAGGTGACGGAAAGGCGGGATTTACCTTTCAGCAACCTTTACGGAGTCGTAAAGTCAACTTAAAATTTTCTGCACCTTAAATACCTCTTTACATATTGCGGAAAATTTCCTAAATATCTGTTTTCGTGCTGGAAAGCCCTAATCCTAATCCTACCTTAAGGCGGCCTTTAAAACTTCAAACACTTATAAATCAAAAACAAAACAAGATAAATGCAAACAGTTTGCAGACCTTTAATACCGGGACTATTACCTTTCGAATGACACCAAATTTGACCTTCTGGTACGTCCGGAAAGCCCAAACCCTAATCCTACCTTAAGGCGGCCCTTAAAACTTCAAACTGTTATAAATCCAAAACCAAACAAGATAAATGTAAACGGTTTGCAGGAAATTATTACTGGTGCTATTACCTTTCAACCGACACCAAATTTGACCTTCTGGTACGTCCGGAAAGCCCTAACCCTAATCCTACCTTAAGGCTGCCCTTAAAACTTCAAACTGTTATAAATCCAAAACCAAACAAGATAAATGCAAACGGTTTGCAGGAAATTATTACTGGTGCTATTACCTTTCGAATGACACCAAATTTGACCTTCTGATACGTCCCGAAAGCCCTAAACCAAATCTTACCTTAAGGCTGCCCTTAAAACTCCAAACTGTTATAAAACCAAAACCAAACAAGATAAATGCAAACGGTTTGCAGAAAATTATTACTAGTGCTATTACCTTTCGAATGACACCAAATTTGACCTTTTGGTGCGTCCGGAAAGCCCTAATCCTAATCCTACTTTAAGGCTGCCCTTAAAACTTCAAACTGTTATAAATCCAAAACCAAACAAGATAAATGCAAACTGTTTGCGGTGCTTCAATACCGGGACTATTACCTTTCTAATGACACCAAATTTGACCTTCTGGTACGTTCGGAAAGCCCTAACCCTAACCCTACCTTAAGGCTGCCCTTAAAACTTCAAACTGTTATAAATCTAAAACCAAACAAGATAAATTCAAACAGTTTGTGGACCTTAAATACCGGGACTATTACCTTACGAATGACACCAAATTTGACCTTCTGGTACGTCCGGAAAGCCCTAACCCTAATCATACCTTAAGGCTGCCCTTAAAACTTCAAACTGTTATAAATCCAAAATCAAACAAGATAAATGCAAACGGTTTGCAGGAAATTATTAATGGTGCTATTACCTTTCAACCGACACCAAATTAGACCTTCTGGTACGTCCGGAAAGCCCTAACCCTAATCCTACCTTAAGGCTGCCCTTAAAACTTCAAACTGTTATAAATCCAAAACCAAACAAGATAAATGCAAACGGTTTGCAGGAAATTATTACTGGTGCTATTACCTTTCAACCGACACCAAATTTGACCTTCTGGTACGTCCGGAAAGCCCTAACCCTAATCCTACCTTAAGGCGGCCCTTAAATCTTCAAACTGTTATAAATCCAAAACCAAACAAGATAAATGCAAACTGTTTGCGGTGCTTCAATACCGGGACTATTACCTTTCGAATGACACCAAATTTGACCTTCTGGTACGTCCGGAAAGCCCTAACCCTAATCCTACCTTAAGGCGGCCCTCAATCTTCAAACTGTTATAAATCCAAAACCAAACAAGATAAATGCAAACAGTTTGCGGACCTTCAATACCGGGACTATTACCTTTCGACTGACACCAAATTTGACCTTCTGGTACGTCCGGAAAGCCCTAACCCTAATCCTACCTTAAGGCGGCCCTTAAAACTTCAAACTGTTATAAATCCAAAACCAAACAAGATAAATGCAAACGGTTTGCAGGAAATTATTACTAGTGCTATTACCTTTCGAATGACACCAAATTTGACCTTCTGGTACGTCCGGAAAGCCCTAACCCTAATCCTACCTTAAGGCTGCCCTTAAATCTTCAAACTGTTATAAATCCAAAACCAAACAAGATAAATGCAAACAGTTTGCGGACCTTCAATACCGGGACTATTACCTTTTGAATAACACCAAATTTGACCTTCTGGTACGTCCGGAAAGCCCTAACCCTAATCCTACCTTAAGGCTGCCCTTAAAACTTCAAACTGTTATAAATCTAAAACCAAACAAGATAAATGCAAACAGTTTGTGGACCTTTAATACCGGGACTATTACCTTACGAANCCACAGTCCACGCCAAAACGTACCGTTAGGTAAATACTCTCAGCAAAAGTGCCTTGATCTCTGGGCGACGCACCGTGAACGAGCAACTTTAGCCCTGTTTACAAAACCTCCATAAATTTGGGTATAACGCATTCTACACATATGGTCCACGTGCCACATATTTCTACCAAACCTTGCCCGAGCACGATTCACCCGATCTAGATTCATTTGTAATTGATGGAAAGACGCAAATCTATGTCAGAGGTCAACGAGCTGCTTGCTGGTACCCCCCCCCCCCTTCAAAGCGTACCTCGTCCGAATGCCGACGTGGTCCCGCCAGAGGCGGTGAAGGTCGTCCTAGAATGGGCACATGATTCGGTCATTACTGCTCTTTAAGTTTCTGTCACGTAAAATGTGGTATCCATGACCGGGTCGAAATGTAAAGCAAACCGTTTAAGTCACTATGGAATCAAATTGCGTTCAGACGCAAATCGCAATCTAGTAAAACCCGTTCGAAACTACCTCCCGAGGTGTTTTGGGATCGAGGCGCATTCAATGCGATTTGGAACGTTCAGATGGAGCCACTTGAATCCGGCTTCGGTGGCCGACACGGACAAATGTTATTAAAAGAAGGTACGTGCAAGTTCCCGCCAAAACTGCGTCATGTGATTGGTAGTACTCAAGGGACCCAACTCACCCGGCTCTCAGTGAAAACCCAGGCTTCTTGCTAAAGAAGTAAGAAGAATCACTCAGACTGATTCAGAGAGGAAAACCCGTCCAGAAAATAGGCTCCAGATGGAGAAATCCAGGACTATACAGAAGGACTGTTAGTCAAATAGGCTTCTCTAGCTAGAGGAGAAGAACAGGCTTCCAGAGTGGAAGAACAGGCTTCCAGAGTGGAAGAACAGGCTTCCAGAGTGGAAGAACAGGCTTCCAAAGTGGAAGAAACCAGGCTTCTAAGGCGGAAGAAATCAGGCTTCCAAGACGGAAGAAAATAGGCTTCCTAAGACGAAAGAATCAGGATTCTCAAGAGGAGAAGTTGAAGACGTTTTAGGCCAGAAGAGGTTAGGAGGATCAAGCAGTTTTTACGGCACTACTTATTGGATTTACTTGGCTGTATATCGGATTATTGTTATCAGACACCCACATCAAGAGCATTCCGGGACTTGCAGTAAACAACAGGCGATACTTGTATCTGCTACTAACATTACTAGATTAAACCATCAAAATTCAACCCTGCTTCGTGTCATGTGCATCTGACCGGATATCCAAGGTAGGCCTGTAAATTCTTTGCTATTCCTAACACTGTCTGGAGCAGGCCACGGAGTTGAGTAAAA